CAACAATTCTCGTTCCTTACATTTCTTCCTAACTGCTTGGCTCGTAGTAGGTATTTGGTTCACTGCTTTGGGTATTAGCACTATGACTTTCAACCATAATCCTCTCAAAAACTTGCCCCTACTTTTCTCTACCCTGTGCCACTTTTCATTCTTCTCCTCCTCCTTGTTTCCCTCTCCACCAATTTGCAGCAATCTTCCTTCTACTACTACTACTTTCACCTCCTCTTTCTTGAGCCCAGGAAGGTCTGCCTTGAATATGTGCTCGATTCCCCAACTAACAATCTAGCAATTTTCCCATTTGAGGACCTGACAGCAGACCAACTACAGTGAGATATTCCCTCTTCCTAATTGCTTGCTGCCCCATATGTAAATCAGCAGAGGACACAAACAACCACGTCTTCCTACATTGCGAGGTGGTGGGTAGCCTCAAGGCCTAGTTGTTAGAAACTTCTGGTGGTCATCGGTGCTCCCGCAGTCAACAAAGCAACTCCACAAGCCTTCTCTTCTCCCCACTACCCGTGCGCATGTATCTTCGTTTGGCATGCCTCGTTGGCAGTAACCATTTGGTCACTTTGGACAGAAAGAAATGACAATTTTTAAGGGAGCCAGCTCAAAGCCATGGCTCTAAGTGACTGAATCAAGCCCATGGTGATTTTAGGGCCCAAAACCATCATAATTGGAAAAGCATGACGACCTCTAATTTTCTAAATTGGCAGGCGGCTTTGGAATTCAGGCCACCATGATCGCTCGCTCCTCCCTATAGAGACCCCTAGATATCAATCAAATCAAGCTCAAGTTCGACAGTTGCTCCCTTGGCAACCCAGGTCCCGCGGGTTGTGGTGGCCTCTTCAGAGAAAATTACAAAACTATACTTTCTTACTCTGGCTACATTGGCTTGGTGGACTCAACCACGGCTGAAGCAATGGCACTCATAGAGGATATCAAGAGAATCATACTTAGGGGAGCTCTTTGGTTATAAAGAGGGGCTCCGAAGACATCATTGAATGGGCCTCAAGTGCTACCACCTGTCCATGGCACCTGGAGCATATATTTTTAGCATTTTTTCTCTCTACAGGCAATTAATGTCTCCTTTCGACCTAAGTGGCAAAAGGCGAACTCTAGTGCAGACTTGCTTGTGAAGGAAAGAGCTAGATCGTGAAATACTAGCAGCATAATTACCCCAGGGGTTTTTTGAGCTTGAGTTCCTGCATTGGTTGGTCCTTGTTTGTCGGTTTTTTTTGTATAACATGCTGCCTTCGGCACCAATTATTTGTATATAGGCTTATGTTTAAACCCCAATTGTGAAGGACAACGCATACTCTTCATAGTAATAACAGTGTGTGGTTTGTATAAGGCTGAGCCCTAAACAATCAAAAAGTAAGGCGCACCTTCAAATAGTGTCAAAAATCATTATGGTGCCTGAAAATTTATTTTCATCTCTAGTTATAAAATTTAACGCTTCAAAAATAGTGTAGATCAAGCAGATCTATGAACAGGTGAAAATCTTGAAAATTGAAGGTCTAGATAATGCATTACAAGATGTACTACTTCCAAGACTCGAAGTCCCTTTTTTTTTTTTACGTCCACGTATCTCAAGGTCGAGATGATTCTTCTAGTTAATTTTTGAGGTGCACCTTAGTTTGATTGTTTAGGGCCTCAACCTTATATAAACTTCTCTATGACAGAAATACAAAATCAACTTTTCAAAAGAGAAAAACGAAAAAAAAAATATCCATTTGCTGCTCAACATTAATAGAATACAAAAGAAGCACTCAGAATGAAAGCTATTGCCAAAAATTAGATGTGTACGCAATTGTTTTATAGTCAAAAACCTCTAATAGAACTTCGAAAAGGCCTTCCTCTTCACTTGGAAATAAACCACTATTTTAATACCTAATCTCTAAGGTTGTTGTGACTGTATATAATCTCAATTTTTAATTTGGGAGGTATGGTTACCTGGCTTTCTCACATCAACCTATTAAGGACAGCCATCTGAAATGAAAATCATGATTTCCTTTTAAATAGTCTTTGCCCAAGTACCCTAAAGGAGAGGCATGAAGAACAATGGCCACTAAGCTAAATATTTAAATCTATCCAAATGAGCATCAAAATGCCTAAATTCAACATTTTCATCAAATAATTCCAACCAATTGATAAAGGCATTTCCCCGGTGTCACTCCTTACATTCTTTGATTTCCTATGTAATTTTATGAATCTTTAAACATTATTCTCCAATAGATGGAGTGTCCTGACTATCGGTACCATAGATTTGAAAAGACAAGTGTGCTAATCACAGAAGGCCCTGAACCAATATTTTGTTGGTGTAGATCATAGACGTTGGAATTTTGAATTAAGGAAAGCACGTCAAGTGTCATGCAAGTGGGCTCTTCATTGCCCATGAGCTCTAGGGTTTAGATTACAATTTCAAACCCTATGTCCCTTCTAGAAGCCTACCACATGTGCACACATGTGCTAATATTCTCTTAGCAGTTTCCACAAAATGGCCCACGAGCCCATCCAAACAATTCGCTGCCCCGACCCCTAGGATGATGTCATGGCAACGTCACCCACATGTGGAGCGTGGAACCAATATGGTCCTATGTGCACATGTGTGGGGACCTTTTGGCCATTTAGGCTCCAAATGTCCATAGGTTCCACATGGGTTGTCCTTAATTGGGTTTTGAAAAAAGTTTATCCAGCAATAAAAATCCCATAAATAAAATTATTTTAAAAACCCAAAAATACTAAAAATCATTTTTAAGTTTACCTTATCGGAAAAAAGTAATTTGGGCAACTGGAAAAATCATGGAGGGAAATTGGGTACCTTGGGGTTTGATATAAATGCACAATACCAAGACACTCTACTTTGGCTCATTCTAGAATTCTGAACCATTTGTTCAAACCAACCTAAAGGAAACCATAGCCCACAATCTCTAAGTAGGGGCTCATGCTTGGTCTATCAAAGCCTATTGATAGACAGCAGAATTCTAGAATTTAGTGGATTGACTTGCACCCCCAATGGACAAGTATCACAAGCACCATTCTGCGGGTGTAGGGTTCCTCTCTCAAGCACATGTGCATGCTCCCTATCTGGTAGATCAACTAGAAGGGTGGCTTCCCAAATGGATACCATATGCACATATTGTGGTTGGCAAGTATCGAGGTCTAGACCCTTATCTTGGCCAAGCCTTCCCACACAAGGCTAAAAACACATCACAAAACCATAACCACATCCACATCACATACCCTGGCTAAACACATCCACTAGGCTACTACCAACACCAACTAAGAGGTAACCTCTATCCCTCACACGTAAATCATGCCATATGCCCATGCCCAATGGATCCAAGGTTTTCGTGACTTTTCCAGACACCGATACTGGGGCCCAAACAGTAAGGCACAATGAGTCACTTGGTTCCCATTCAAGTCCTACACTCCCACTAGAGTAGACAATCATAAATCATGAAGGGAAATTTATCAAAATACACATTGCATTTCAACTATTTGATTTTTTACCCTCTTACTACTATTCCAAGTCAAAATCATGCATATTTTGATGGGTAATTTGAAATTAATTCAAAACATATGGGCAAAACATTAAATAGTTAATCACCACAATTGTATTTGACAAATTTCCCAATCATCGATGGTGTCAAGGCCTTGCAAGGCCACATAAATCAAGCTATTGATGGCTCGTAAGAAGCTCCAATCTAGCTTGTTTTCTATTTGACAACAGAGGATATATATCCAGCTAGCTTGTTTTCTCTTCTTCTTTTTTTTAAGTTCAAACAGCAAAACCTCTGCACAAGTTAACAACCACAACAAACTGCAAGGAGGCAGAGAGAATGCCTCTCCAAGTACAGAAGCTGTCAGTGCCCCAATTGACTCACAAACTTAGTTTCCTGCACATTTGACCAACCACTAAAACACTATTTTTGAAGCCTCGAAGATACCTTGACGTCCCATGTGAACTCACACTTCCTCTAGCGCTATCGAATGACATGAAAGCTATTGACCTCATTATACAAGAGTGACATATGATTGCCACAATCCGCCATAATGTTGCCACAGGAAAACATGTTTAAATATGTCATCCTCGTCTAAATACCCTTGCTGAACCCAAATTTTTCCTATAGCTACTGATATTCAACTTTACAAAATAGACTTCAGCACAGAAGCCAAAAAGATAATTATCAGTAACTTCAGAACCTGAATTTCATCCCCATCAAGATCAATTTCAAACATCCTAACCCAAGAAGAGGAGGAGAATGTTGAGGTTGGGCAGCGAACACAATGAATAAATTGAAATTTCCTACAAGTGTTCCATCAAACTTCGGCTTCACTACAAGATTTATGAATTTAAAATCAACCAATCATGATACGCTCACATGGGAGGCAAGAAGATGCAATCAAAATATGCCTTAGAACCACAAAGTGGATTAAATACTGGATTTCCCTGCCAGCAAGATATAGACCAACATATGTTCATCAAGTGACTGTTGAAGCTTTTCCACCACAATTTTAACAGTTAATGTTGCACAAGTTTTACAGTTAATCTTGCAAGTTTCCTTTTCGGGCACTTGTATGCCGAAGCCTTGATTTAAACTGTGTCTCCATGCATTAGAAAAAGTGTTAACATCAGAAATATATGCATTCATGTCATTCTGTAACTGGAAGCATATTAATGTGTGCTTTACAAACTAACTGATTCAGAAAGAGGACTTCTAATCATGGAATGCTCATCAAGGTAAACAACTTTCTGGATACTTGTAATAGAGCTTGTCTAGGAGCTTTGAACGATAGCTAATGCATAAAAGAAAGCGAGACAAGCAGGTCGGCCAAAATTTTAAGGCATCTAAGAAGACAAGTTTTTGTTTTCTTGTACGAGTCCTTGTCTAGGAATTCTACTAATAGCTCTTAAAGAAAAATAAGGCTAGCAGGTTTTTGCTTCCTAAATCTCATATAGAAAATCGTGTTAAATCATTTTGAAAGGCACTTACTTTCATACTGCAAAGGTTCTTCATCTTCATCAATCTCAGCCTCTAGATCCTCCTTGAGTTTCTCAAGACGTTCTAATTCCCATTCTGTCTCCTCAAACCTGACCTGAGATTCTATAGCAGATTTGTCTACTATAGGGTCCCAAAGGTCCAGGAACCGCATTGCATATCGGTCTATAGGGCGTAGCTGATTTTCAAAGGATGAACTTGCCTGTCCTGCTGCAGCTGCCGCTGCTGCCATCTGTTTGACATCAGCCAGCATATCAAGATCATCCTCCTCACCTGCTACCATAAGAGCCTTGTCTTCATTTTCAATAGACTCAGCTACACTGACACCACTAGTCTTATACTTCCTATCAGTAACAATGTTGTCTTCACAAGCTCTTTTCTCATCGGGCTTTCCATCATCGTCATTTGCATATTCATCATCTTCTAACCTACCCATAGCTTCTTCTAAGAACTCCTGATTATCCACTGCCTCTTCCAGTTCAACTTTCTTCAAAGCCATATAGTCTGCTTCATCTTCTGCAAGTTTCAGAGCAGCCTCCACTTCTGCATTCGATAAAAGGGCCTCCCTGCTAGAATTTTGGAGAGCATTTGGGTCCCCTTTAGGCATAGTTTCATCGATAACAGTTCTGTGGCCAGAAAATAACTCCATGGGGTCAAGCTTTTTGAAGAATTCTGTGTTATAACCACCACTCTGAATAACCAAATCATCAAGAGCACGTTTCTGGTTTGCTTTCTTTAAAATATTCTCTTCAATTGTACTCTCACTTATTAGCCTGTAAATATGGACTTCCCTTGTCTGCCCTATTCGATGGCATCTATCTTGTGCCTGGTTGTCCATGGCAGGATTCCAGTCACTGTCATAAAAGATGACCGTGTCTGCCCCAACCAAGTTGATTCCAACACCACCACTCCTCGTTGATAAAATAAAAAGAAAAATTTTTGGATTTGTATTAAACCTCTGCATCAGTGTTTGTCGCTCCTCAGGTTGAGTGGAACCATCTAGGCGCATGTACGTGTAACCATACAGGCTAATGAATGCCTCCAAAATATCAAGCATTTTGGTCATCTGTGTAAATATTAATGCTCTGTGACCTTCAGATTTCAAGCGTCTCAACAGGATTGCAAGTTGTTGTAGCTTACCACAATCAAATTGTATAAGCCGTCTATCAGGAAAATAGACTTGCCTCCGCACAATAGCGGGCCTTATTGGTGCTAAAAGTGGACCAAAAACCTCTGTGCAGATTTCCTTAAAGGCAGGATGGAGAACAACTGGAGATCCCTGCTTACTGCACCAACAAACAGGCATAGGGGCACGCGCAGCAGGAATTGCAAACATAAAACATTCAACCAAGTGAAACACTTGCTTAAGCCGTTCAGTAGGCAACAAAATAATATCCCCCAGCTTTGATGAAAAATTCATGTAGTCTGAGGGTTTCATCTTTTGCTGATGAATATCAAGAACAGGATGTTTTATGGTAAGAACCTCCCTTAGATTTGTGCCATACGTAGGTTTCCTGCGAGTCAGCAATGAATGCCACCACGCAAAAGATGCTGCCCGTTCTCTAGCCTCTTTCACTCTTTCCTCAATAAGAGCTCTTTGAATTTCCTCAAAAATATTATTCCCAGGTGTTCTCTTCCTACGCTCACAGTATCCTGACAGCTTTCCAATTTTGTCAACGCTGTTAACCTCTACAATGACATTCGAAGGGGTCGCAATTGCAGCAAACTCTTCATTTTCCCAAGAAGTCATGCTGAAATCAAGATGAGTGAATAAAAATGACAAACCCATTAGATCTACTTTAGATAATGGGCCAGAGGATAGTACTGTACAAACAGAAGAACTCAGTTGCATGTAAATACCAACCATATCAAATGAGCTTATGATAGGACGGCCTTCAAAAAGGTCGGGATGGTTGCACACCTTCCGAAGTTGCATTATGATACTAATCATCCCAAAAAAATTCGCACTAGCCAATGTTTCTTGTGTCTCTGAGCTGGCAATAAAATCCTCATATAAATTGCGCTGCCTTCTTGACAATCGGCAGTATATGACATGCTCATACTTCTTGGGAAGTTGCTTTTCTACATCCCGTTTCAACCGCCTCAGAATGAAAGGGCGCAACACATTGTGGAGACGATCAACCACTTCCTTATTGACCCTATCTTGTCCTTCAACCATGCCTGAGATTGGATTGCTAAACCAATCTTTGAATTCCTGATGGGACTGAAAAACATGAGGCATCAGGAAATGCATCAAAGACCATAGCTCCATGAGGTCATTTTGCAAAGGCGTCCCTGTCAACAGAATTCTTCTCTTAGAATTGAAGTTCAACAGGGTTTGCCACCTCTGGGATTTCCAATTCTTTATAAGGTGAGCCTCATCCAGAATCAGATACTTCCATTTCTTTCGCTTAAAAACCTTTGCATCCTGTATGACAAGCCTGTAAGTTGTTATGCACACATGAAAAGAGTTGGGCTTTAACCAGCCTTGCCGTTTATTCTTTCGTTCTTTCGCAGTTCCAAAGTAGGTTAGAATCTTAAAGGCAGGGCACCATTTCAGGAACTCAGTTTCCCAGTTGAGCATAACACTGGTGGGGACAACTATGAGATGGGGTCCCCATATTCCCTTTTCACAAGCCAAGTGCGCTAAAAGAGAGATAGTCATAATTGTCTTTCCCAACCCCATTTCATCAGCCAAAATTCCATTCAGTCTCTTCTCGTACATTGTCACAAGCCAATCTAAACCAATATGTTGGTACTCACGAAGGGGATGCTTGAGAAGAAATGGAAATTTTGTACGCACTTTTGTTGTCAAGAAAGTGTTTCCGGTTGGCTGTGCTGATCGGGCAGCAGCTGCTGCATCAGCAATTATATTCTCACTTTCCCGCCCTTCTTCAGTTCTGTTTTCGAGCTTTCCTTTGAGTTTTTGCATTACAGAATGTTTCAATGGGGAAAATGACTCAATTTCCGTGGAGTCACTTGGCAAAACTGTCAGACCATCTCTATCTTCATCTGGACCAGAATCTTCCCCTTTTACTTCCTTATTCCCAGAATGATCAACTTGTTCCTCAGAACTGGTAGAAGCACATTCAGATGCAGAGAGGTCATCTTCATCCTTGCAGGTATCCTGACAGAGCACTGGATTTTTAAATTGAAACCAAAAGAATATAAGTGTACATGGAAAATTAAGCAAACCAGAAGTCTTCATACCATTTTATACATCGCAAGTAACTCTTCTAGGGGCATTTCACTCTCCTGCTGCAGTAACTTGATCTGGAAAAGTATGGTTAAGTTGAGAAAAACAACAAAAAATCCCCAAATGTAGACACAAAGTAAACAAACTAGAAATTAAAATCAACAAACAAAATTTCTGAGTAAAAGGCCAGCCTAAGCTTGTTAAATAAATTCCATGGCTTATTCCAAGCCAATTATCAATTAATAGAAACACATGAGTATTCTCTCAAACCAAAAAAAGAAAATAGATAACACGAGTCAAATTCATGCTGTGCCTGCAAGCATCATACACTGCAATATAGCAGGTTCATTCAAAGCATCGCATTGAGACATCCAGGAGCTGTATATACTAACATCATTACACCAAGTATTCGCTGTTCTTTTTTGTATGATAATTACTATCCCATGACACAAATTGCACAAATATATATATGTTGAAGGTGCTTTTTCATATGTTAAACAACTGTCTCTCAGAACTATTGCATTTTTGTATATTATTCGAAATCTACTTTATTCAGGACACTAGACAATCGAGTGACATACACGTATACGTCGCTAAATCCTTTTAACTTCTAGAATACAGTGGCCTGAAGCAGGAAATAAAAAGCAGGAGCTTTCAAGGAACCATAATGACCAAAAGCAACAGACTACAAAATGTGTAACATGTACATAAATGCCGTGCATCTGTATGAAAGTATAATGTATATCCCATTCCATAAGCAGCCAAATGCAAATACAATTGTAAACACTTTTATCTGTAGTGAATAAATATTGTCCTATTTGTGCGTATGAATATCTCAAAATGGATTCCAATCTGGTGTCCAGTAATATGAACAATCATAAAAAGCTGATGACATTCATAGACCATAATAGGGCATCATCGTAACAAAAGAAGTAACCTAGCACCAAAAATTGTATTTTGGACAATGACAACATTTTTACACCTTATAAGTCCAAATAAGTTATCTTGCAAGACTGATTTGTGTGATCCCCGTTGCAAAAATGATCCAGATGAGGAAAAGGGTAAGCATAAGTTGTCATCTCTCCTGAGTGCGTGGTTAAGAAATACAAGCCTCGATCATTTGATCTTTCACTTTCTACCTTAAAAGCAGAGAATCAAGATTTCCTGAGAGAGGAATGAATAAAGGTTGATAAAACAGCAGTAACATCTTCAACGGTGGCACATTGCAGTCCTAAGTCCTAAATGAATATGAGGAAAATCTGTAGCCTATAGTCGAAACTGTGAGTGTCCTTGGTGATTATGTGGAAAGAAAGGAGGTGAAAAACCATCCCGAAAGCCAAAAGAGCAAAAAACATTAGACTTGTAAGGGGTTATCTTATAAGATCCTGATAAAACCTACAACTGCTAGAGTTTAGGTTGAGCTTCGCCATTTCAATTTTCCTTTACAAGATGTTCTTCAAGGTTTCGCAAATTTCATGATGTGGTGTGGCTCACACATAAATGAATAGACCCATAGGATGAGCTGAAGATCCACCCTAGCATCAACGTAAATCGACATGAAGAAAGCCCACAACCATGTCATATTGCGAGTCTTCGATTATCACTGAAGGCAAGATGGTTGCAGAGACCAGGCAATGGAGAGGGAGTTCACATCCTCAGTTTAAATTTCCACCAATGGGACCTGCACACTCCATGCATGCTTCCATTTCATGTATTGACACTTGGACACCGTGTCAACACTTCCAGACAGGAGGCATTAGAAATGCAAAAGAGAAAAAGGCTTGGTTTGAACAAAAGACATCTTGCACCATGTTAATGCATTTTACCACTGCACAACCCACATATAAGTGTCATACATATGAACCATTTGTTATGTTTAAACTAAAAATCTATTATTTTTATTGTATAATAATGATCATATAGACATTTCTATCCTGCCTTGATTTTATATTGCTGCATTTGACACTTACAGAATTGCACAGGATGTGAACATCATGTCATTGTCCAGATAAAATAGATCTCTACATAACCTAAAGGACTTTTTAGGAGCTCCCAACCATTGAGTCAAGGGATCCCCTTTATCCTTTCTTATTTATTGACATTTTATAGCTTCTGATGCAAATTGCATCCAAGATATATATATATTTTTTTTTTTTTATTTATTGTTGAGACTAAAGTTTAGGAATATTCATATAGGGGTTAAAATAAAAGGGATTTTTATTTTATTTAGGATGGATTTCCTTGTAGGATTCCATGATCCAATTTTGGTAGCATTGTTAGATAATTAGAAAGAGACTTATGGGATAGAGAAATTTCCTACAAAAGATGATCTATGAGAGAAAATAAGAAAGTCTGGAAAGAAGTTGATTTGCTTGATCATAAAGATTTATGTAGATGTGGATAGGGAGTTAAAGATATAAAAGAGAGATTTTTATGGGAGATTTTCATGGGAGTAAAGATCTAAGGAAAGATTTGATGGGGAGAGATTCAAGTGAAAAGGAGATAAGCTAGAGAGAGAAAATTGTGGGGGAGAGAGACGAAGAGATTAACATGGGGGAGAGAGAGATATACGTGGCGGAGAGCAAGAGAGATTGGCGAGGGGGAGAGAGAGAGAGAGAGAGAGAGAGAGAGCTTTTTGGAGTTTTCTTATTATTTCTTTTTGGCTTGTATTTAAGGTGGAACTTTCCCCTTAAGAGAGACTTGAATATTTTTATAGAAAGTTTGTTTACGAATGAAGAAAGATAGCTTCTTCTTCTCCATGGTTTGATTTACAGCCATATTTTCCCCTCCAATATTGTTGAAATTTTGCTTGTTTAAGATCGAAAGAATGCCGGATTTAATTTCCTGAACTCCTTTTGCATCATTTGGTATCAGAGTATGATTCGAAAAGGGTTAGTGACTACGATGGATGGTCGTGAAGGTCGCAACCATAGGAATACCAAGCATAACCAAATATACAAGAAAATTGACAACTTGATGGAGATGGTTGAAAAGTTGTTGCAAAAAGAAAGATTGCAACAACGCACATCAAACAAGATGAGATCTACGGTGCTAGATCCATATTGTGCGAGGTCTAGCATAGATAATGTAAATCAGAGCACGAGTCTGAGTGGGAACGACCTAATGTTAAGCTTAATCCCAAGCTAGGAGACTGACGCCTCCAACTCAGGGAGTTGCTGTCCCTACAACAAAACCTGAGCATCACATAAGTAAACATAGAAAGGTATGTGATTTTTTGATCAATGAGAATCCAAAAATTTTCACTAGAGAGTTGATGCTTTGAACGACACAAAGGATCCTAAATCTAATGAGAAACGAGTAGATGTATTTAGAGATCAATCTACTGAAAAAGTAGAGATAATTGAGGATATGCCTAGCATTTTTATTGATAAAAGTATGGAGGATTCTAATATTGATAATGAAGAATTTCTGCATGGTATTGATCAAAAGGAAATGTTAACTTTTAACATTATTTCTGTTGAAGACAATGTTGGATTTTTAAAAAGATTCCCTCCTTGTGAACATGAAAGAGCAACCCCTGACTACACTAAAATGGGATTTGAGTTTGGATGAGAAAACCAAGATAGTTGGCTTTAATCAAAGCAAATTGTCAGTGGTCAGAGATGAACTATCTTTGTTGCCATTAAGTGAGGAGACTCCACCAAAATCTTCCAAAGAGGAGGGTGTGGCTTGATTATCCATTCAGCAACTTATAGTAGAAAAATTGTTGATATCCAGATTGTAGTTGATGTGGTTAATGTTGGTACCAGTGGTCAAAATTATGTGTGTGCATTGGAGTTGTCTAATAGAGGTGATGAGAGTGTTAGTACGAACATGGTGAGCTGTGATTGGCTGTCGATTCTGAAAAAGCCTAACCAAGATGTGTGGAATGGTTATGATAAATTTAGATGGTTTGGTCGCTTATTAGAACCATTTCATAATTGGTGTGAAATCTTTGAAATATGGTTCCAACAACATCATTTTGTGTGGCATCTGCTTACTAATGTTGTTGATTTGGGATGTTCAAGAGATGTGGGGATGATAATTTGTGGTGGGAGTATGTTGATGTTTGGTCAATGCACTAGAATTAGAGTTGATGTTACGTACAAGGAAGAGAAGCCCTGTCGTCGACTATGGAAATCATGTAATGATGTTTGGTTCATGAAAGAAATTATTAAATTGTTTGAAGTTCTTATTGAAAAGACAAACCAAGTTATTATACTTGTACAAGAAGAGAAGAGCAATCTCTTTGACAACTTTGTTGAAATTGAACAAATCCTATCGGGGCCTATAGGTAAAGGGACTAATCTTGCAATCAAATTCTTGATGTCCATGGGAAATAATTTGAAGTACCCCAGTAGAGATTGAGAAAATTATTGCAAAAAACAATAGTTTTGTCGATGCAGAGATAACATCTACTCCATGTGCCAAGCATGTTTTGAAATTTTATCTTGATGTCTTTAATATTTCCCTTGAGGAAGCTTGCCAACTCGGGCACCTTCATATGGGGTTTGAGCATCTACTTTTTGCTTTGACATGTGAATGGGAAGGATTTATTGGACGTGTGCCTGAAGCCTTTGGTGCTGAACTACAAAATATTTGTGCACATGCCATTTGTATGGTTGGAGAATGCAAGGAGGATGTTGGTGATAACTTTCTAGGAGGGAGTCCAAAAACTCATACAGTTTTTCCCTATTACTGTTCTCCACAAAACATCGGCTTAATAATTGCTAAAACAAAAGATGGTCATGTGATTTTTATGCTATAATTGTAGGGAAAATCTCTTCTAAAAATTACACAAGGGAATTCACCCCTTAACAAGCAGTCTAAGACGGTTGATGTGATAGTTGGCTACACAGGCTTTAGCAAAACCATGTCAACTACCTTGAAAGCTGCATGTCTTGATAGTAATGTTTGCCTCGTGGGAATGGGATACAATAAAAAGATGAGGCTCATGTCAGATCTACAACAGGAGTTGCAACCTTCAAAGAAAATTGATAACATACAACTCAAGGCATGGTTATCACAAGAGTTCAAGACAAAGAAGAAGCCTCAGAAGAAGAAAGCCAGTGGGAAG